CTGGGTAACAAAACCAGCGTGTGGCAGGCTGCAGGAAAATGCTAAATCGCGGGTTGATTTTTCATAAATGGACGGGCTTTCCAGTGAACTTCTCTCAAGGGATTTAACCCTCCCCTGGAAGCAGGGCGGCTCTGCTGGAGCCAGTTAACTGTTGCTCTCCGTGGTGCAAGTGAGATTTGAGAGTCAGAGCTCTCTCTGAATTGCACTTACCCTAAGGAGCCCGGGGGAGTCGCTCTCGGGCAGGAGCTGAGGGTTTCTGCCAGCGGGGGAAGGCAAGAAGGCAGGTGCCAGGTGGAGTGGTGCTGGGCAGGCCCAGAGGCCGGTCTAGGGCTCTAACACGGCTGTCTTGGCAGGAACACACCCAGCCCTTGCTGCAGCTCAGCCCCCAGCCGTGGAGCTTGGATGAGCAGAATGAGCTCATGGACAGGGCTGCTGTCCCAGGGTGGGGTCAGCCTCGTCCCACAGGAGTGGGGTTTTGGCAGCAAGGGCCGGGTGGTGCTAACGTGCTCTCCCCACCTTCCCCTCTTGCTCCAGAGGCTCAGGGGCATTTTTCAGGACCCCGACGAGGCTGAGGACGAGGAGTACTGAGCCGGCCAGTGCTGATGGCACCTGCCCAGCCGCTGCCACACCCCCAGCGTTTCTCTGAGCATCGAAATCCTGTGAAACGGGCGAGCTCTGAAAAGAAAACCAGCGGCACTGCCCACTGTCCCTGCCAGCCTGGCCTGCCGGCACCCAGCAGTTTGCATTGTGCTCCAGGGTGGGGGTCTGTAGAGAGTTTGGCCAGCCCTCCCCTCCCCTGGAGGCAGGCAGGCAGGAGCCAGGAATAGGTAAGATGCACTGGGAGGCCGTGGTTTCCTGCAGTCTGGCCAGGGCCCCGGCCCATTTCTGCCTCTGCTAGGTTGACTTGGAGCAGTCGTTGCTGCGTGTGAGTCTCCTAGGCTACGTCTACACTGGCCCCTTTTCCGGAAGGGGCATGTAAATTTCACTAGTCGTCGTAGAGAAATCCGCGGGGGATTTAAATATCTTTGAAGTAGGAATAAGAGCCTCTGGAAAAGGGCACTTTTTCCGGAGGATCGGGGCCAGTCTAGACGCTCTTTTCCGGCTTTTTTAAAAGCCGGAAAAAAGCGGCGGACATTTTTATTTAAATGCCGCGGGGGATATTTAAATCCCCCGCGGATTTCCCTACGACGACTAGCGAAATTTACATGCCCCTTCCGGAAGAGGGGCCAGTGTAGACAGGGCACCTGCTAACAGCTGCCCACTCCTTACAAGCAGGAGTTATGGGATGGGAACAGGCTTCGTGTTCTCTGATCCTGGGTCTGTGCCCTCTGCCTCTCCCACACACAGCCCGGGCTCTTAATGCAGCGAATACACATTGACTAGCTGGGATCTCAGCTGCCCTGCAGGAAAAGCCCATCTAGGGCAGCCCCACCGCAGCTAAACCAGCAGGGCTGCCGTGGATGGCTGAGCCCAGGCCCAGCCGGAGAACAGCTAGCTGGGCAAAGGAAGGTTTTCCTGGGCTGGGCCAGGGAGGAAAGGAATCCCAGTTGCCCTGGAAGTAAGGGGCTCCCAGGAAATGCAGGTGCACCTTTCAGAGCACGGCAGACACAGCTACCAGAGCGATGCGGCACAGGAGCTAATCCAATTGAAATCGACCATCCCCCAAAGCCAACAGGCCCTGGCTCCATCCAAATGTCTAGTCCCTCCATCCCTGCGATGGTCCCACGTAGCCTGGGTAGGAGGCTGTAGCCTCTCTAGTGTGCGTGTGGGGGAGGGGGGGGGTTGGTCCTTCTGGTCTGAGCACCCTGGACTGTGCAGGGCTGCTCTTGCCTGGGCTCCACAGCTCAAAGCACCGGCGAGGGTGTCTGGGAACAGGAGCTGGGCTAAGTGGAGACTGGAGGGCTACTCCACATATTTTTAATTGTTAGCGTAATGAACAAAGACCCTCCATATAAGGCCGGTGGTTACTGTCGTTTGTGGGGGAGGGTATGATCTGCACCCCCGACACTGGGCTGCTGAGCTGACAGATGCTTTGAAAGTCTCGGCCCCTGCCATGCAGCTGAGTCCAGCCGGCTGGCTGAGGACCTGGGGGCAGCTCTCCACCGGCAGGGGAAGAAGTAGGAGCGGATTCCTGGCAGCTTAGTACCCCTGGCGTCCTGCGGTGAAAGCCACTGCTCTGCGTGGAGCCTGAGCCCGTTTCCTGCACCAGGAAGCTGCTGGAGGTGCCAACAAGCCTCGCGCTGAGGAGCCCAGCCCACGTGGTGGGACTAGAGTGCAGGGTCCGTTTGCAAGTCCCGGCTTGGCTCTGCTGTCCTCCCTTGGCTCAGCAGGTGCCAGTGCCACTGAACGGCTCCAGGGAATTGACTCACAGCCGGGCTCTGCCAGCCGGAGACCTCAGCAGCCTTCTCCCCCTTTGACAGACGGGGAAGCCGAGGCACAGCCAGATGAAGGGACTTGCCAAAGGGCATTCGGCAGCAGAACCCCGATCCAGCCTGGCCCAGGCTCTGCATGTTTGCTAGGGGCGTGACACTGTGGCAAGGCAGTTACACATTCCCCAGCGTACTGACAGGCCTCCCGGCTAGGCAGGCAGGGGCCCCACCTGGGAGCCAAGGCGTGCTGCCGCGAGACTACCCGAAGCATGTCCCTTCCGGGCTCTAAACGCCCTGGAGCTCCAGGTCCTCTTCAGGCAGGGCCTCGTTTTTACAAAATATGAACTGGCTCGCTCCCTCCGTGGCCAGTATTTCATCAAGGGAAGACACGACGGTGTCGTGTTCCTTCAGCATCTCTGGGTAGCGGGCATGGGCCCGCTCTATCCGCAGGGAGCGCCGCACCGGCGTCAAGAACTTCCAGTCTTGCATCCCAGGCAGTCCCGTCAGCCTGCCAGGAGTGGAGGAGAAAGAGCCCTCAGCTGAGGCCTGGCAGTGCAAGAGGCCCCTTGCCCTGCCTGGTCTCCCACCCAGGGACCCTGGACACCACCCCATAGAGCAGGAGGGGTTTAGGAAGCTAGTAGATTCCCCATCCCATGCCAGTCTGAGAGGCGACAACACGGACTCTTCCATCAGATCACTCTCAGGGCTATCACAGCTCCACGGGGTCAGCACGCCCACGGCCTCGCTGCCCACCCGTTAAGGGCTTCCCCACATTTTGCTGACCTGGAAGCAAGCAAACAGAACCTCAGGGCTGATTTGATTGCAGCCAGGACCAAGACTCCAGGCAGCCTGACCCTGCAAAGCTCAGGAGCCAGACCGGAAGCCAAACACCTGCCTCATGATGGCAGAGTCATGGCACCTCTTGGCTAGCGACACGCTGGCCACCGCAAGGGGAGAACAGCATCCAGCAGCAGGGCTACAGCAGCTTCACCTGCAGGCAGGCGCTCTTACCTGGGCACTGAGACTATTTGCAGCTTGACCAGAGAGGCTGTCTTGCCCGGCAGGAACCGGACAGTGGAGTGTGGCGTTGTCACAGCCTGCTCTCTCGCACCAGGGCAAGGAGTCCTGGGCCTCTGGGGCACTGGCTCTTCACCGGCAGCCTCTGCTACGAACGGGGCAAGCTCCACAGAAGGGTCTGCAAGGGAAGTAAAAGCCCGTCAGCTCCACTCACCGATTCTAGCGTTACAGGCTAACGGCTCTTCCCACCGAGAGGAGAGTGGACGCCAGGGAGGCTGCTGGAGGTGGCTTGAGGGTGGGATGAGACAAGGGGAGTTCTGTTCTCTTGCCAATGGTCACTGCTGCTCTCTGCTCTGCAGGACAATGCCCTGCTGGGGGGATTTAGGAGGGGTTGGTCCTGCTTTGAGCAGAGGGTTGGACAAGGTGGCCTCCTGAGCTGCCTTTCAACCCCAATCTTCTCTGGCTCCATGCTCCTGTGCGCCCTGGGAAATCCGCATTTCCTCTCTCAAGTGTCCAAGTGCAGGTTCCCAGGCTTTCCTGCCTGCTGCCTCTGGGCAGAGAAAAGCTGAAAGCTGGGCTGTGCTGCTAGGCAAGGCCGGATCCTGCACGCTCTGCCCTCCCAGCAATGCACTGCATGCAAGTAAGTGCCCCATGGCAGGACCTACGTCTCCAAGGCTTAACAAGCTAGCCTGGCTTTCGGAGGAGTGTGTCAGCAGTAGGAGCTGGTGGTGCTCTGTTCCTATGACAATCCCAGGTCAGAGAGTTGTAGCCCTTATTTTCCTCCACTCCTAAGAAATCAGCCCCTTCTGAGGACCGTTTCCCATTCACGCTTCTCCCCGTAAGCCCCTCTGTGCAGGCTTCTGTTCCAGTGAGCCGCGTTACCTCGGGATGCTCCGTCTGCCTTTTTCAAAGACTCCACAACGACTGCTCTCAGCTCCTGGATCGGCTGCAAGAAGAGCAATTGAGAACTTTGTGGTTAGAGCTCACCTGAGAACGCGGGCACGTGAGCCAGGACTTTGGGTCCTAAAGAGCATGGCGTGCGTGGAACTCACTGTTCCACGAAGTCACCAGCTGTCCCCCCCGCCCCCCGAGAGGAACTAAGGAAGGGCTAGAAAACCCACAGCCCAGAGATGACTCATTGGCCAAGAGGAGAGGAAATATCTGTAACCAGACTGCTCTCCGAACAACATGCAGAGCACGGCTAGCCAGTCAGCAAAGAGACTCCACCCCGCCCACTGTGGCCCGTGTCCTTACAGGTCTGGTGCCCAGTGTAGATTCCTGTCCCCGGGGAAGTCGGTCAGACTCCTCAGGGCCAGACTTCCTAAACCAAGGAGTAACGGCCACTGCCCCATGCTCCTGAGAGGGCCACAAGTCGGGGGCTACAGGGATAGTGAGTGGAAGTGGTGTCCCTGACGAGGTGGACGATGACAAGAAATAGCCCAAGTCCCTAAGAGACCTGTTCAGCCTGCCCCATCTCCCACACCCCCAGCCATCAAGCCATGGCAACCTGCAAACTGGTTGAAAGGAAACTGTAACATGGCGCCCCTCCGACACTGCGGGGGGAGCAGGTGGCTCGGTAGCTCCTGTACCTTTGGAGACAGGAACGCGATGGGACAGCTGAGCAACAATTCTGTGACAATTAGGGCTCCAGTGTAGCCACTTCAGTGTGTCTATTCACTGCAATGCCAGCAGCTTTATGACATGCTCAACTAAGCCATTGAACTACAAGCACTCCCCTCCAACCATAGCTGGCTATCGATTGCCTGGAAGTGGAGAGGATGGGTCCCCATCGCTGTTTCCCCAGCCTCCTGGAACAGGAAGTCTCTCAGCGAGGTCTGCCGATATCCAGACCACCAGCACTAGCTGGGATGTCTGTGAAATCAGAGGACGTTTGCGGCCAATCGCTCACCGCAGCACCAGCACGAACCGCTGCTTCGTACAACCCAGTCACATCAACGGTGCCGTTACGGGCCAGCAGCTTTGCCTTGCAGATCCAGAACTTGGCAAACTTCTCTGCCTCTGGGACACTGGACAGTGTGTTGAAGAGCTCCTCTGAAGGACAACCCTACAACAGAAGAGCCGGTCAGAAAGAGTGGGCAGGTTAGGAGGGAGGAAAGCCAGGGACATGGTTAACTGTTCACAGCCCGCAAGGGGAGGAAGGGTGGCCTCAGGCCTTACAATGCAGAAGGGTCGCCAAGTGTCTCCCAAGGTGCATTCACACATTTGAAAAGGTCCCCTGCTGGGCGGCTCTGCAGCTGGCTTAGTTTTAAGGAGCCATTCACCTGAAGTAGTGATAGAGATGCAGCCCTGTTAGTCTGGTGTAGCTGAAACAAAAGACAGAACGATGTAGCACTTTAAAGACTAACAAGATGGCTTATTAGGCTATGAGCTTTCATGGGCCAGACCCACTTCCTCAGATCAATATGTGGAAGAAAAATCGGCACAACCCTATATACCAAAGTGATACCATCCAAAAAAATGAACGCATGTGAAATTGACAAATCAAATTTTAGAACAGAGTGGGGGTGAGGGGGAAAGGTAAGTTTCTGTGAGGTAATGACATAGGGGTGATAATAGGGGAAGTTTCTGTGTTTCACCCCCACTCTGTTCTAAAATTTGATTTGAATTTGATTTGTCAATTTCACATGCGTTCGTTTCTTTGATTGTATCACTTTGGTAAATAGGGTTGTGCCGATTTTTCTTCCACATATTGATCTGAGGAAGTGGGTCCGGCCCACGAAAGCTCATCACCTAATAAACCATCTTGTTAGTCTTTAAAGTGCTACGTAGTTCTGTTTTGTCTCATTCACCTGAAGTGGTATTCAGCTTAATTGGTGTTAAGTATCAGAGGGGTAGCTATGTTAGTCTGGATCTGCAAAAGCGGCGAGGAGTCCTGTGGCACCTTATAGACTAACTGAAGTGTTGGAACATAAGATTTTGTGGGCAAAGACCCACATGCATCTGACGAAGTGGGTCTTTGCCCACGAAAGCTTATGCTCCAGCACTTCGGTTAGTCTATAAGGTGCCACAGGACTCCTTGCTGCTCTTGCAACTTAGTTGGTTTAACTGAAACAAAAGACGGGACTATGCAGCACTTCAACCTTCAGGCAGTTAAACCAATCCATTGAACTGAACACCATTCAGTGAGTCAGAGTAGGGAGGGCTGGCGGGTGCCTGGCTCTGGGGGAGTAGAGGGGCTATTTTAGTAAATTTTGTGATCCCCATTAATTTAAGTTCAGGTGAAACTGTTTGGTAAAATACTAAATTTTACTTTTTTTTTAAATAATGTGCATTATGTTTCTAATATTTTTGTAACATCTGAGAGACTCCCAGTCCCCCCCAGCTCCAAAGTGTGACCCCAGGGCCTGACTCCCAGCCCCTGAGAGTGTGACTCCCCCGAGAGACTCCCAACCCATGAGAGACTCAGGCCCCTGAGCAAGTGTGCCCCCCAGACTCCTGACTGAGAGACTCCCAGCCCGAGTGTGACTCTCAGGCCCTCCAGCTCCCCAGCCCGAGGGTGGGGTTTAAGCCGCGGGGGAGGAGGGAGGGGAGCAGTGTGGGGATGAGTGTCTTTCCCCCACAACTCAAATAAATGTAATGTTATTCATGTATTTTCAGTTTTTCTATGAAATAACTGCTATGAATATATAAACAGGAGGGGGCACAATTTTATATTCTTGCCTCAGGTGCAAAATTAGCTAGTTACAGCACGGCTCCCCTCCCCAATTTTTGAATTGCCGTGGGTCACCAAGTCTTCTTGAATTGTCAAAATGGGTCCCCATCTGGAAAAAGCTGGGAACCGCTGGATGGCCTTGTATTTGAGGTACCTGCCTGGGACTCAGTTAACTATCAAGTTCTGCCCTAGAGACACTGTGAGGATAGTGGGCAAATCATTCACTCTCTGTGCCTCAGTTTCTCATTCGCTAAGGGAGGACACTGTTGTGACAAAGGCTTATTGGTGAGTCGTACCTTTATGTCAACTCCTCATTAGGCCCGACATACCATCTCTAATCCATTGCGGTCCAGATCTGTACCCCAAAGTACCACTGTGTGCATGCTCCTTTCACAAAGGGTTCTACGATATGCTGCAATTATGACTAAAATGTATTGAAATCAGACGTGTATGGGGGAATTGATAAACAAGTGTTTTCCAGACAAAGGAATGCAGTTTTGCCTTTTGAATGGGTCTGCCATGTCAATTGAGCAAGGTGTGGTCAAACACAAAGAAATCCGAATTTGCATGCCAGATAACCAAGGCCATCAGCAGAGCAAGTAGGAGGAAGCGAGCACTTAATGGGGAGACTGCAAGCAGAGTGAACAGTGTTTGACAGACACTTTGCAAAGGCTTACTGGACTATGGAGAGAAGAGCAGAGAATGTGTCCTTCATCTCAGCAGGCAAGGAAAACCAGCACCCTGGATCTTGTGGGGATTTGACTAAAAGTTAGTCAATCATTGCTGGAAAAGATTGTTCAAGGTAGTTACCTTCACTAAGGTAGGTCTTAGTCATTTGAAAGCATATTTTTATATCTGATCGGAACCTCTTCTATACCTGCTCTCTCTCAATCCCTTGTAAGTTTGTTAAGTTCACTTGTTTTACTGTTACCAGTTCAGTGCTGAGGGAATGTCTGTCAAATCGTAGTCAATGAGTTGTAGTGTATTTTCTCGTTAAAGGAGCAATTCACTTCTGCATGTGCTCAAGGGGGAAGGCTGGACGCTGCAGGGATACAACTCTGAGCAAGTTCCGACCAGGAGAATGTTGGTCTCGCTGCAAAATGCAACCGGGTGGTGGAAGTCAGGATGCGAGCTGCATGCTTGTGTGGGGGCTGTTGGCATCAGAGGTGGCAGTCACAGCAGCAGAATAGTCAAGGCAGCCGGTGACACAGCAGCCAGAGTTCCCTCTAATTTTTCCCACCCCTGAGCAGAATGAATGTTATGTGCACCAGCGTGGGGGTGACGTGCGACAGAGGGGACGTGCGACACATCACCTTCACAACGGTGCACATAACATTCACGTGATGGGAGTGAGGCCAAGGGGCTCTGAGTGTCAGAGAGCTTGGCTAGGAGAGAGGGTTGGGGGAGCAAGGGCTCTGGCTGGGGGTGAAGGCTCTGGGGTGGGGCTGGAGATGAGGGGCTTGGGACCACAGACTCTGGGCTGGGGTGTGGGCTTTGGGGTGCAGGAGGGAGTCTCAAGGAGGGGCAGGAGTATGGGACTCAGGCTCAGCTGGGGGGATCCCTGCTGAGGACAGTGAGGCGGCGTCCCTCTCCCCCAGCTACAGCAGCTTGGTGTGGGGACGCGTGCAGAGCGCTGTTCCCTGCCAGCTGCTGGGCTCCTCCCCACCAGCCTTGGCAGCTTCAGCGCTTGGGGAATCTCTCCTGAGCCCCTGCAAAGGGCGCAATGGGAAGCTGTAGAGTCACACAGCTAAGGGAGGACTTGGGGAACAGCCCGTTCAGATTCTGAGGAGCTCCCCTGCTACGGAACTGGGGGCCATACAGACTCCTGGTTCCTGCGCATGATCTGTCCAGGTATCCCAGCAGTGACATTTAATGGCAGGAGGAGTCTCCAAGAATGCATGGCTCTAGGCACAGAAACACAAGGGGAGACACGAGGCTGGCCTCTCTCAGGGACCAAAAGGATTGTAGGCAGCAAGAAAATTAATGACAACCCTTTAAATCCCAGGTGACACTCAATGCATCAATTATTTTGTCATCTATGAAGGATGTAAAATTCCCATTTTAGCCTAGATGTCAGGGCTGACCTGCTGCATAACTCCACTGGCTCTCAGTTACATCACTTGCTGCAGGGGGCTATGGAGCCTGCCCAGGGACGCTGAGCAAGAGATTTCACCCTAAGCAGGGCATTAATGGTGCAGCGGTAGGTTCAGAACAGACCCCAATGCTGCCGATGGGCCAGCTAGCCCAGTGTCTGATCTTCTGGCACTGGCCAGGTGCAGCTGCTACAGAGGGAATGAAGAGACCAGGGCGACTGCCTGGCGGTCCCCCACCTAGGAGATCCAAGCAGTAATCTGAGCCACACGAATGCTGCATCCTGGGGCTGCAGTCTTCACAAGCCGTGCCCCTGGGAGAAGTCCAGGTTCTCAAGCTCTCTCTGCCTAGCAGTCTCCCAGCCATCCTTAAGGGGAGCGGGCTGTGAACGCCACTCCTGGCTTGGCCCTCACCTTCTCAATGAGTTCCAGACACTCTGCCAACGTGCCATGGATCTTGTCCCTCAAACAGAGCTGCTCCCTCTCCTCCTCCTCCTCCAGGCTCTTCCAGAAGGACAGGTTCATCGTCTCCTGGTCTGGCCTTTTAGCAAGCAGCGTCATGGGTGGACGTTTATACGATTTCCCTTTGGATGCCAACCACTGCTCCAGTTGCTTCCTGCCAAAGGACAAAGATCATTAGACCATCAAAATTACCAGTCCCCATCTACCAATGCTCCTCTAGAGCTACAGCTCTGATTTTTGTCTGAGTCATAAGCAGTGTTCCCGCTAACATTTTCCATATTTGAGTGGGTTGAATTTTCTTCTGTGCGGGTTGAAATTTCTTCTATGCAACGCCGATATGGAGGCTGTGTGTGGATATGCACCATCAATACAAACAAAAAGCTTAGATATAATTTTAAACAATCCATAGGAATGGAAGGAGAAAAACATTCAAACAAGGGATAACAAGGCGCAATGCTTAAAATATTTAATATGAAATCAAATAAAGAAAATTAACACTACCGCTGGAATACATGTATTATCATTTCTAGGGACTCGAGTATACACACCAAAATGGGCCATACTAAAAACAGCTATGCAAATAAACCAAAGACATAAGGCATAAAAATAGACATCAGAGCCCCAGTTTAACAATCTACACTCTGACCACTCAATCTGCCAAAACACTAGCATGCTTACAGACTTTTGCAGTTCACGAAACTATCCCTCTTGCATGCATAGTATCCACATAGCTCAGCTTTAAGATGCTAAGCAAATCTATGAATCAACTAGAAATACTGTAGTCATGCTCTCCTTGCAAATAGTAATCCAATATTTTACTGACACGGGAAACCAACTTTCACATTGTGTGCCACCAACTCAAAGAGTAGAAGCCCCAGTGCATCTTCACACATGGCTTCAAAGTCTGTGTAGACAGATCCCTGCTTCACAGAGTTTGCAAATAAGATCTTCATTCTATGAAACACCTAATGATTTACTTCTGAGTGTGCCCATTGGCTCACAAAAGCCAGAACTCTAGCAGATAGCAAAGATCTGACCTTAATGGTCTGCAATACCCCTCTCCAAACACATGCTAAAACTTAAGGGAAATCATTTGTCTGGAATCCAACACTAACTGAAAGGCCAAACAAATTATCAGGATCCATGGTAAATTTCTTTCAGTTTCAACAATTTACCATGTATTAATTAGTAACCCAGGATTTTAAAAAATCGTTAAGATCAGAGCTTTCACATATCTACAACACTCCAAAGAATTCTGTTAAAAGAATCCTTTTCTTCCTTAAGCCATTAGCACGTGTTAACTTTGAAATCAACAAGTAGTCCTGTGGCATCTTAGGGTATGTCCCGAAATAGCATTTTCGGCTTCTTAGCAACAAGCCCGTTACTTTGAAATGTATTAGAAATAACGGGCTTGCTATTCTGACGTCCCAGTAAACCTAATTCCACAAAGATTATGGGGCTTGTCGGAATAGCAGTCTATTTCAAAATCTGGCACTTGAAATAGACTCTCGAAATAAGCTATGCAATTTGCGTCGCTCAAATCGCGTAGCCTACTTTGAGCTACTTGGCACTGTACAGACGTACCCTAAGAGACTAACAAATATACGAGGTCATGAGCTTTCATGGGTAAAACCCACTTCATCAGATAAGTTGGAGTGGAAATTACAGAATATATAACAGCAAAAGCAGTTACCTGTTAACTGTAGGATCAGTGTTAATTAAGCTAATTAACACTGGTCCTACAGTTAAGTCAGGCTAGATATGTCCCATTCATAGCATTTGATGTGGAAATGCTAATATCAAAGGCAGGGGAAATTGCCTTTGTAGCATGTTTACCAGGTAATATTTTTATTCAGGCCCAAGTTGAAAGTGTGGAACTGTCAGCCGACTCCCTCTGTAACTGGGTGATAACATTCTTTAGTAGAAGAATGGCTACTTTTAAATTCATTATTGAATATCCGGGGAGGTTAAGATGCTCACTTACAGGTTTATGATTGTTACCAGGGCTCGACAAATAATGCAATCTACTTGCCACAGGTGAGTAGATTGCAACCCGGAAGAGCCAGGTTTGGGCGATTTGCGCATGCACAGAACGCTGGACAGCGCGGCTGGTGAGCGGGGCTCTCCACGGCTCGGCGAGCCCTGCTAATCAACATATTTATAAACGATCTGGAGGAAGAATTCTTTACAACAGAAAAACATCAACACAAGGAAAGTCAGAATCTGCATTAAGATCTGCTAACACACACCCTCTCAGCCCTCTTCTCTGTTCTGGATCTGTCTCCAGATTTTAGCCCAGGCTTTCTAACATCACCCAGCAGCTGGCATCTGTTAAACTCAACATGGCCAAAGGCAAGGTCTTCGTTTTTCACCCAGTATCTATTCTGGTCTAGAATTGCAGAGGATTCACTATTTTGCGTTTGCTCTATAAGTCTAACAGTGGAAAAGAGAGCACTACATTATTCTTTCCTCATCACATTTTTTCTGGCATATTTCAGATCTTGTCATTATTAGTGATGTTAGCATATAGTTATTTAGACGATTAAGCAATAAGCCTGGGCTTATCAGTTAATGCAAACGACTACAGGGTCCCCACTCCCCACTGCCTCAGTATCACAGGCAGCAAGGGGCGGGGAAAGCAGGAGCTGGCTTAAAAGCAGACTCCCTATGAGCACTGGCTCTGCAGAGCCGCCTGCCCTCCACTCTGATAGAGCTGCAGCAGCAGCAGCACGGAGGGTGCGGGGGGCAGGCAGGAGCTGGTACACGTGGGATGCCTCCCCCCTGCCTGCCTCACACACAAGGGCTACGTCTACCAGTGCTTGGGGTGAGGTGGCTTAAAGCCTGTGTCCCACAAGCATCGGCTCCAAGGAGCTGCCTGATCTACCCCTGCAGCTACCTTGGTATCCGGCCAATAGGAACAGAGAGATTTTGCTACAGGACAGGGGCAATGTGCAAAGCCTCTTCCCCTGCCCGGAGCAGAAAGCCACAGGGTGCCCGAAAGTCCTGGTGGGGCAGCTGGCGGAGGACTTCACCACCTGCCTGCATTCCACTCATTCCCAGGGTCTACGAGGGACCACTTCTCTGTTCCTCACCAAGGGCTCGGAAGGAGCCTACGGCTTGAGGTCGAGAGCACCGCAGAGGGCATTGCTGCGAGGGATCGCCTCCTAGTCTCTCGCTAGAGGCTTTAATTAGCCAAAGGCTTGAGAGACAGGTGCATCACGTCCATCGTCGACAGCTGGATAGTGTAATTATTGTCTGTGTAATCCTTGTGTTTGTGGGGTACTTTACTATCTTCCTACTTCTTGGGTTGGGATATTAAGAGTGTTCACCTATTTCCTTGTTGTACCTTTTAAATTTTTACAATATATGGTTTGGCCCCTTTAAATTGTGTAACATTTTTATTTCTCTGCGGCAAGTTAACCAACAAACACCTATGATAGATGAGGGTTGGTTTTATCTGCAACTTCCACTGAGGTTTAATTAATAGTAATCAGATTGCAAACTTAGACTTAGAGATCCTCAGTGTAACACCCCAGACGCGCGGCCCCGCCCTCGGGCGCCCAGCACGTGAGTGGCCCCACCCCCCGGGCGCCTCTAAAGGTTGGGGACCATTGCTGCACAGAGTGGAAAAAAATTAAAGGGAACATTGCCCAACCCCCAAACCCTTGCTTTGTGAAGCAGTCTGTGTGTAGTCTGCAGAACAGAGGGGAGGAGTAAAGCCCTTTGTGACGTAGTGGGGGCACCTGGCTGCTTTTATGCTGGCTCTGTGGTAACCCCACTGGCTGCTGCCGGTACCACAGCCCAGAAGGACAGGGAGTGAGACATTATGCAAAGAGGCCCTCTCAACCTGTCCGACCAGCTACCCCCCATGGAAAGGAACAAAGGAAGGTGGATGAGACCCGGCTGGGGGGCAGGGCTGGAGGAGAGTTAGTTAGTTAGTTTCTGTCTGGGAGCATGGAGGAAGCAGCCTCAGCAACAGGCTGGGGGGTTTAGAAGCTAGACCCCCCCCCATATCAAGGGGGGCTGAGGCATCCTAGGCCTGTCCTGTAACCTGGTGACATCTGTGCTGTGCTGTATCCTGGAGAGGCAATAAACTCCCTCTGTTCTACCGGTTGGTGGAGTCTGTTCGTGCCCTTTCGGGGGTGAAGGAGGCAGGGGACCCCAACGCGCCATCACACCCTTTACCTTTTGCTTGTTTGTAACCTGGATGGTGAGGCAGACTCATTCCTTAGCAATCTCGTCTCTTCCCCATCCGTGTGTTTTTTCAGTCTCTGGACATTAATACCAGTGAAAACGCAGAACACCTCAGTAGCTCCAAACCACTAAGAAGGGCAGACCCATACTATTGCTAACAAAACTTAACCTGTCAATTTAAGATATTCCATATCCTTTCAGGCTTAGATAGACCTGGTTAGCTATTGTTGAAGGAGCCGAACATGTACTGACTGAAGTGCACAGTACAGACATCTTATCTACCTGGCACTAGGCAATAAACATTTCACTTTCCCAGATTTGCCCATATGATAGACAGTAGGATTTACCCTCGCTGCTTTCAGCCGATCACCTCAAACAGTGCTCTGAACACAATGCAAAGAGCTGCATTACCTGTACACGGTTTAGATATTGTTTGTTGTGTGGGAAACACTGAGCCCTTAACTCTTATTCACAGCATAGCTTATAAGGGTACTGACAGAACACTGCAAGTTTAATACATATCCAAAGTTTGGATGCAGTCTAGTGGGAAGCGTCTTCTCATCTGTGAGGGGAAAGAACACGGAGGAACCTGGAGAACTGAACCTTGAGCATTTCACCCTGCCTCAGAATGGCTCTAGCTACCTTCGTCCAAGAGGCAGCAGTAACTGAATGAGACATAGTTGCTGCTCCAGTGGGGTGGGGGAGCCGGAGAGGCCCAGCCAGAACAGTAGACATCCTCATGGAGAGGGAGGCGGCAGAAAGGTAAAGCAGAGCCCTCACTAGCATGCAGCAAAAGCCCATCTCCTGTGGGTTGACTCCATGCGGCAAAAGCCCATCTCCTGTGGGTTGACTCTGAAAGGGCATCACCTCCTTTCTCTCCACGAAGACAGCTTGCCTTGGTGAAGTAGTGAGGAAACAGGCTACCTGCCATGTTCAGGGTATCAAAAGGAGGCGAGAATCAGAAAGGAAGCCACTTACCTGCGCTTTTCAACAGCACAGGTCTTGGGATC